ATTTCCACTTTTGGATGCAAAGAGACTCCGGTGGGGCTCGAGTTGAACTCGAGATGGGACGGTTCGTTGTAACCGGACGCACTGGAATCACGTCGGTACACCAGCCAATAAAGAAAAATGAAAACAGTAAATTATTTTCAAATGAGATGAACTTCACTGTGTTTATTTGAATTGGTTTCGAATAGGAAATGGGTTACCACGGATTAATGAACGTGCGTGTATTTGTGTGCGCGCTCGAATGTGATGTAAATCGATTGGTTCAGAGGACAAGGTTGTGGGTCCAATTACAGAGCAAAAAATTCAAAGGCACTTGAAGGAAATGATGGATGAAAGATTTCTTCAAAATGTGCTGATGATATCATCAGATCTTTGGTTGTGCATACAAGAATACGGGAATTTATGTTTTGAAGGCGAGGGACAGAAAGGAGAGGAAGGAAATTTCCTTCACGGTCTATGTGACAAACCATTATTGTTATTATTAAGTTAATGGACCCGTTCAAAAAAGCCCTAACCCGAAAGCGTTCAATGATATGACAATGCAATTAGTCTCTCGGTTATCTAGCACACGGTCGATTGAGCGGGAAGATGAGGTCATGCACACTGAACACTGCATGCATGAGTGTACAGGCAAAGCTATTCACTAATTTGTACAGTCACTTCCAAGCGCAACATCTCAGGCCCCACCGTGCCTCGTACACACCTTATCGGATGGATTGAAGGACAACTAGGGGGGAGGGGGTTCTTGCGAAATTGAAGGCACAACGAGACGAAGAAAGTGAGGTTGGATGAAGGTTTTCTGGTTTTTCTTGTGTGTAGGCATTATTGTGCCTTAATAATGATCGATTACTTTTTATACAATCAAATGCATTTTTGTTGAGGTGATGATGAACAAGTATAGGATTGAGAAAAGCCCGTTGGCAGGGGATGATTCAAGAAAAAGATGTGTAGCACAATGTAGGAGTATTTGCGTATTTGAGGCATAATTTGTGTGAATTATGGACACGCATACTGGTCAGTCACGTTTGTTTAGCACGGGAACTGGTTTTGGATTCGGACTGCGATGTGGATCTGGTCGCGTGAGGAAATTTCTTCTATTCTGAGTGATCGCACCGCTTTCGAACAGTTCTTGCAAGCGACCGACTTGGTGTCGTTTTGGCTCACTGCCCAGATGATGGTTCGGGTTGGACGGCTGAAAAAGATTTAAGAAGGGAAACATCTTCATGAAAACAATGTCTGTTTGAAAGAGGGAAACGGGAAAGAAGGCGTCTCCATGGGGCTCGGAGATAGCGATTCATGACGGGGTTAGGAGACATGAACAGGTTGCACAAATGAAACAGTAAACTATGCATGAAACAAAAAGGCTTGCTTGCTCACAAGAAGATCAAATAAAACTGCGAGAACAAACACATAAATCACGAGTCCTGTGGGTACAAGGGACACGATGCTTAGAACTACCAACCTAAATGGTTGTGAGTGCTATCAAACATTGCCAGATAAGTGATTTAATCAGGGCCCAAAGTATGAATCAGTGTTTTCTTACCCTAGCTATTACCTTCAAATCAAACTAGATGAACTTCAACCACGAATAAAACTCTGCTGCTAGATACAACGGTGTTTTTAAAGTTGGCATGCACTAAACATGTATGTGAACCTTTTTGAAATATGTTGTCATGTGAACTTGTGGCCCATATAAATTCAAATAAGAAACGAAAATTGCTTTTTTTTGTTTCAGAGCCACAAGGACAAGGGAGCCAAAGCGCAATACCTACCCCCCGCTTTGTTAATTTTCCAAAGGGTAACAATTTAGATTCCAGTAGAGATCGTTACACTTGTTTCACATACACCGAAAGAATGACATATAATCGCGAAGCTTTCGCTATTTTTGAGAGGTGGGGCTCAAGAGATTACGGTCATAAAAACGCGGCATCGGAGATCAGGTGCTGGGATTGTGTAATCCATTGCCGAACTTCTCCCAGTTCTGTATTCCCCCTCCCCGTAGAGTTTACCTGGCCACAACCCATTTATGAAAATCGATTGTCTAATCAAAAAATAAAGCAGGAAAACAAATAACATTTGGAAAATTGTACTTGACTGAAATCACATACAAAAACGGACAAGATTGATGGGACTTGGCACGAAATGAACTGAATTTCTACAACTATGGATCAGAGGCGTCGGTTTCAGGGCTACTAATTTACGGAATGCTTATTCTAGATTTTTCACAGTTTCTCCGTAACCAAAACACCCATGTGAAAAAATTTAGTATGATGTTTGTGCTTCCCTCTAGGTTTGAGAGTGCCAGAATTACGATCCAATAGTGAAGGAAAGTTGTTTTTAATTCCTTTGCATACGTGTGGATCCGCGTTGCCATTGGAATGCAGAAACTTGCAGTGGAGTTCAAATCTGAGGTGTGGGTTAGCTGTTCATGATCATGTTCTGCTGCTGCAGGCAGGGTAGTTCGTATGAACAGAGTCTGGTTTGGACCGCTTGAGAGTGATATCAATTTGTAATCTATCTAGTTTGGCATGGTCGTCTAACATTAGATTGTGTTTCAGCTGGATGAAGTAAAACGACCACCCTCTCCCCAAAGTTGAAATGAGACAAACTTATGGAGGTAGGTTTTTGTGGATTCAGTAGATTCAAACCGGCATTTGTCCAATGGAAACGCACAATTGGCTTTTAGGTAAGAAAAATTCTGACGGTTTGTAGTGCCTTGAAGACGTAATGCGCTGGATGATAACAATCAAAGAAACTGATGTCGGGCGCAAGCTGCATACAGATAATGTAAATTTCAGAATCTCTATAATCTCACGTTAGGTTGCAAGCATACCTTATTCACTTTATGCACGTCCCAGATCTTTCGGTCTGACTCGCTAGACGGGGTGAATACAGAGAGTGAGCGTCCGTTACGAGTATCCCGTGACTGAGGTTCATCGGAATCCGTGGAAATGGATGATTCAAACTCCTGCACCGCCCGACTCACATTACCCATTTGCAATCCACGATGGATTGCTTTGTTTGATTCTCCCGTTTTGGATTGGACAACACTATGCGAAAGTTGCATATATGAGTTCGAAGAGGAAGTCGAATAAGCAGTTCCACCGTCAGAGCTGTCTTGTGATTCGAAAACTTCATTTCTGATAGATTTTCGATGAACCTGGGATAATGTGAATTGGTAAAAGTCAATTAAGTTCTCTAAAACTTGAAAACATAAACGAACAGTTGTTGCAGCTTTTGTTTTGTAATAAATGAACTAAATAAATGCCCATACATTCTTTTCTAGTTTATTTAGTACACAAACGTGTAATCATGTTTCAGCAGGGGGGCCGATACCATTCAAAGGTGGACTGTGAAAGTACGGAAGTTCTAAAGACCTTAAGCACAAGACCACCACCGCAATAATTAACAGTTATCTCTTGATAAGTGTTTTGATAGCTCACAGAAAAATGTGCTCATTAGAAAACAACATTTAACGTTTGGATCCGTGGGTTTCTCAGCGCTTTTCCAGGCATTGAGATTTGTTATTAGACAACAGACCAATCGGATAGAAAACTGATAAAAGCGGACTTCAATAATGACAGTTTCGTCCAATTGAGTTTAAGTGAAAACTTAACAATTGGCTTGAGAGATCACCTACATGAGGTGTTCGTTTTTATTTTCCTTAACAGCTTCACTCGTTAACTTGTGTGTTTCGGCGGTAAGTGTTGCATCATTTGTTCGAATAACGGAAATCTTTGTCATGATCGATTTCATTTCACTAATAGCTCATTGCACTTGGGGCACAAACGAAGTCAAGTCGTTCATATCATTGATGGAATTAAGAAAAATATGACATTCCCAATGACAAACTTTCGATATGTCGGTTGGTTGACTTTAGATCGAACAAATTCATTTTATCTCAATTCTAGTGCTCACAGGCTGCAGGTATTTCGGTGTTGATACAGTCCACACGGAAATCGATAACGGTGAATATAATGAACGGAGGATTCTGAAATCAGGTAAATTTTTACGTCGAACTACAACACGGACAACCAGGTATGCCCATAAGAAATAACAATGTTTACTAACCGAAGCATCTCTCTCATGAGACAGATGGGTGAGGTGCAATGCCTGCATCAAGCTAGTAAAAAGGTGGTTTGTGCCAAATTTTGAACATTCAAAATGAGAAACAGTCTGATCAGGTGCCCGGTGACCTAGTGAGTAGTATGCGTGCGTCATACCTGTGAGGTCCTGGGTTCTATCCCCATCTGGGGCAATGGATTCATACTGTTGATGAAACTGAACCAGTTTGAATCAGTTGTCCAGTGATTCCCAGCTTTTCAGCTCACGCTTCATTTACACGACGAATTCATCATAATATCCGAAGTTAAATAATATGAAACAATCTTTTCCGATACCGGAATTCAGGGGAAAAAGTATAATTTTTCCAGATGGATTCACCAAAGGGAGTCTTCTTCTTCACAAAGTAACCGTGTAACCTAATTCGTCTTTTACGAAAACTTTTAACCAGAATAAGGATAATTAATTGCTAAAGAATATACAAAATTGTGAAATATAGGGGTCTCAAAAATATGGTTTCTATCAGAAACAGCCCTATAAAGTAGTCGGTGACCGCTAGAGGAACCGTAATGATCAACTATAAAGAACCTAATTTGGGGAGTTGTTCTATAGTTACGCCCTTGACTTCTCTGTCCTTAGCAAGCCTTATAAAATCCACCACTACTGTATATCACGGATGTGTTTTAGTCTTTCCTAAAAATAAGGATTAGGCTCAATATACGTTAGAAAACAGGACTAGATTGAGCAATTCATAAAAATGGGTAGGTTTTAACCGTACTGGAAACAGTGATTTGCATGGCCACATAACCCCTGATAGTGAATGAATCCCGTCAGATATCTGTCACACAATTTGCATCATATTTGAAAATAATTAACTTCGTACTAAAAGGTGCTGTTACTCTTTATTGGCAAATTCTGACTTTTACACAAGAATCACCGAAAACCACCGGGACATCAGTCACGCAATATTGTTGTAACAGTTTCTCATTTTCAATTTATCCAAACTTTTGAAATAATAGTTTTCACGACAGATTTCCAAATTATAACCCGATAATTGTTCTACTGTTGAAAGTGTGACTTCTACTCTGATTAGAATACTGGAAAGCAAAAGAACACCTTAAGTGCAGACAGATATCAGCAGTTTGCCACATTGTTTGCTTGTCAGACGTTTGCAAAAAACTTCCTTTTTCCAGGTGCAAACACTTCTGTGATCAGGAAGAATTCATGCAGGAAACAAGTTTACTAGAGACAAAAATGCCCCCTGTTGGCTTCAAAACACGAAGTAAGGAACAGCAATGTGTGTGTTTCCCCGAAGATTAAATAAGAACAGCAGCGGTCTGTGGCGCGGTGTCTGTCTAAGGTCACTTTTAAAAGACAGTAAATACTGTTGCAGACCAAGACCAGCTTTGGCTCAAGTTTTCGTGACTTGTTTTGGATTGTTTAGTGAGAGGTGGTATAAACGAAAGGACAAGATTCGCTAANCCCAAGCCGTTGGATTTGCGACATTTTCTCGACGTAGATTGACCCTAGTAAAAATACAAACTGTAACGAAAAAGTGCATCAGGTCTGGACAAATATGTTTTATGTGAACGACGATTGATCAAAGTAAATATTTAAAAATTGTCATACATATATGTATAGTTTACTGCTGCTTCGGCTTATTAATGAGATATTGTTCAACAGCACGGAATCAAATCCACACAGTCCGAAACAAAAAGACATTCTTGAATAACCTTTGATTGACCGTCATTGAAGTACTAAAATTCATCGACCTTTCCTCCACGATGATGTTGTATAAGACGAGTTCCTATATGCGGAAGATTATTTAAAAGTTTGCCCATCTGTGTAATGTCACCATAATCTAGGGCTCATTTGTAAGCACGATTCCGAAATGAGGCGAGATAGACAGTGAGCATTCGTCATGGACTCATTCAATGATTGTCCACTATGAACCGAATATTTGTGGATATCAGACAGCAGTTTACCTCTCGTTCAGAATACGATTCATTCATCAAAGTAGACTTGATCATTTCGCTCGGATCCGGATGTCGATCGACCGTTTGATTCGTCTCACTGGTTCGTCGAGTTCCGTTCATTTGTAGTGTCGGTGTTTGAGACGTGGCATGATGACCGGTTGCGGCCGCGACAAATGCAGCACCCAATCGACCAATCAGACCGTGACTTAGACTAGCTCGCCATCCGCCCGGGGTACGTGGCAATGGAGTGACCTTCGTATCGTGGGCAACAGACACGAAGTTCGCATCTTGTCGTACATCCGAGTCCGGTTGAGTCGAGGCAATTTTCTCTGAATAATCTTGATGAACTGTGATCCAGAATGAGAAAAGATGTGGTGTGTGTGGAGATGAATATCTTTCCGATTATTTGAAAGGAATGGAAAGGCACTGAACTGAACGATAACAACAACAGAAACAACAGCAACGACCTGGAAAAAAGTTTTCGATAAACAACTACAGTTTAAGGGGTTTGATTCCGAGGCGTTACAAACGGTTTATCAGAAAACGGTGATTGAAAAGTGACCTAAATCACCGGGGCAGCTTACTCGCTAAGTAGTTCCACTCAACCAAGATCTAGCTGATTCAAATGTACTACTGAAAGGGGTCCGAGGTTATTCGAATATGACAGTCGGATAGCAAAATTAAGAACAGTTTCGTTTCGAAAAGAGCAACTTTTTAATGGTTACAAGTCATGCATCCTATCAAACGTTAGGTAACAACTAATATCCATCGACTGACCGAGGCCTGAAATGCCTTTCAAAATCGGCTCTTATGATCGAGTATGGTTGATGGATTTGATCAATGTATGACATGAACGTATCAGTAGAAGTGTAAAACGAGTCAAATGTGGGTCTATTTTCCGTTTGCCCCTAAGTAGGAACGATCGTTGGCACATCGGTTCTGCAGGTGTTGGATGGCACACTTCAATTGGAGAACCTTGACCGGAAAAACAAATTCTGCACTTTTACCAACCAAGGTCAATCGGTCAGTGTAAGATGTGCGAATCTGGCTGACAAATCGAAAAATGCGCGGACCGGCTTTTCGTGCGATTGGACAGGTCGAGAAATACGTGTGAGTGTGTGGATTGTCGTGTTTTGCATCGATAAGACACAAAAATATACAGCAAGAATAGCAAAAAAAAGGTTTGGAAAACAAGTAAACAGCACTGCCGATTAGGGCGACGGAAGCGACGTGTCTGAAATCACTTGTTTCGGGAATATGCACTACATATAGAAAACAGCGATTCGTGGATTCGAAGCGAGGGTGAGGAAGAAAACCGATAAGTGGAATAACACGAAATAATCTGCAAAAATGGTACAATTTATATATGGAAAGACGAATAAGGTGAAATCACAGTGGTTGAACTAGACAATAAAAACCCGCCTGCAAATGTTCCGCATAATTAGCACACGCTGCGCTTCGAGACCCCAGACATTCGACCTAAAAACGTGTCTCATTCGGTACATGAATGCATACAACCGGCGGGATAGGCGGTCAAGAAAAAAGCAAGCACAGGCGGCCACCAGATAGTAGCGGAGTCATCTTAGCGCGCCCCAGTTGGATCAAGACGCAAAGTTTATTCTCGGTGTGTACACCGCACCATGAGGTAGAGAAATGAGAACGCCTAACAGCTTTGGAAACAGAACAGACAAGCAAAGTGAAGAGAATGATCTCGGTTTGGATTGATAATAAAAACGCAGTGCTACAGTCTCACACACTAATCTTTTTAATTGCCAGAGGAGTGGATATTAGTTTATTCACACCACACCGTGCAACCAGGTCGGGTGGGAGAAATATCTCTACAGGACGGTCATATAACCGCTTGGTAATGCATAATGTTTGTTTCTGCTGGTGGCATAGATAAAAGAAT